AGTGCTGGCACAGATTCTGTTTCAGCTTCTTCAGATCAGTGGCAATTGGTGGTTGGCCTGGGCAACTCCTGCCTCAGCAGATGTCAAACCTGCAGTTGGGAACTCTACATTAATAATGGTCTATATAGCTTTGGCCTTCGGAAGTTCTTGGTGCATCCTTGCCAGGGGCATGTTTCTTTATACAGCTGGATACAAAACGGCCAATCTATTGTTCAATAAAATGCATTACTGCATTTTTCGTGCTCCCATGTCTTTCTTTGATGCCACCCCAAGTGGGCGTATACTAAACAGGGTAAGCATGCAATTTTTTGTGGCATAATTTGTGGGTTTACATATATTTATATATTGCCTTGATTTCCTCTAGGTCTTTGTGAAACATTCCAAATGCTTTCATTTAGTTTAACTCAATTGGCTTTCTCCACTTACAGGCTTCTACAGATCAAAGTTCAGTGGATTTGGGTGTTCCAAATCTATTTGGGAGTGTTGTCTTCACAGTGATCCGACTCCTTGGAATCATTGCGATGATGTCTCAGGCTGCATGGCCAGTCTTTATTGTTTTTATTCCTGTGATTGCTACCTCCATTTGGTGTCAGGTAGTCATTCCGAACTCAACTATTGTGTTTTCCATCTACTTACTTGTTCTGTCGATACAACCGATACAGCTCACATGATGCTTTTGGCTTCACCTCCTCATTTTTTATGTAAAACAATTGCTGTAAACCCTTCTTTAGGGCTGATCATCTCTCAGTGTTCTACCACATTAAATTACAAAACTTGTCATCTACTAAGGCTTTGTTTAGTATGGTTGTGGTTTCTAGTATTTTGTTTCGGTTTTTATAAATTTTAAAATTACCAAAAACCAAAACTAAAATTCAAAAACTAACAATTTGTTAAGACGAGTTTTAACATTGACAAAAAAAAATATAAAACTAGGTTAATAGTATTAAGACTATTTTTGTTCTTATTCATTTAATAATCATAATAATATGTTGGAAAACCAAATGAAAGTCAACGAGTTTTGTTGTTCAAAGGTTACAAATTTTTGTAAAGATCAAAACTAAAAATTAAAAAGCACAAACACACTAAACAGGGCTCAAGTTTAAACATGTTGAGCAATATGGTTCATTTAAAAAACTACTATTATATTTCTGATTGAGGTCTATGAGTTTGGCTATCTAACTTAAAAGAGCTTTGTCTTTTCCTGAAAGATGAATTTTCCAGCACGTGTTTTATATATGTAGGTGGTAAGTTGATTGGATGCTGCTATCAATGCAGTAAGCAAGTTATTATTCTAAACTTGTTCCCACATCAAATGCATGCACCCTATAAAATTGGCTTGTGTTATGGGGTTTGCTTGATGCTGAAAGCAATTTTCTGAAACACAAAGTTGATTGCTTTGTTGTCTCTTGACTATAAATATTTGTCTTTGTGCACATCATTTGTCACTCGGTAATAGATGACTGCATCATTCATTTTCTCTTTTCTTGGAAGGTTTGAGATTGTTGAGAATATGCTCAGCCTCTCAATTACAAATATGATTCAAAGTATTATTTTGTAACTGTGCAGCAATATTACATATCTCCAGCCCGAGAACTTTCAAGATTAATCGGTGTACATGGAGCTCCAATAATACAACATTTTGCTGAAACAATTTCAGGTTCAACAACAATCAGGAGCTTCGATCAACATTCGAGATTCAGAGAGACAAACATGAAACTGAATGACTATTATTCTCAGCTAGTATTCTATAGTAATGGAGCAAATTCATGGATGGGCTTCCACCTAGATATGTTATCTTGTCTTATGTTTGCCTTCTTTTTGGTCTTCTTAATCTCCATTCCACAGGGAGCTATTGATCCAGGTGAGCAATAGCAGAGTGTCATTTCTTTTCATTACTGATCTTGTTTTTAATGAAAAATGGTGGCAACAAATGAGGAACTCTATCGTTTGCTCTCATGTTCAGGCATTGCTGGCTTATCCGTGACATATGGAATCAGTCTAAATATGTTGCTAAGTTATGTAGTGTGGAGTCTGTCCTATCTAGAGAAAAGAATTGTATCAGTGGAGAGAATGCTTCAGTATAGTAGCATTCCCAGTGAGCCACCTCTAGTGATAGAAACAAATCGTCCAGCTCATGCTTGGCCATCATATGGAGAAATCCATATTCATGATCTGCAGGTAACTTAGTTATACAGTTATTACAACTTGTTTTTACAAGATATTTGAATGCTAATCTTCATACATCAATTTAGGTGCGGTATGCTCCAAATTTGCCACTTGTGTTGCAAGGCCTTACGTGCACTTTTCCAGGAGGATTGAAAACTGGCATTGTAGGGAGAACAGGAAGTGGTAAATCAACACTTATACAAACACTTTTCCGGATGGTTGAACCTGCAGCTGGTCAGATTCTAATAGATGGTGTCAACATTTCGTCCATTGGATTGCATGATCTACGGTCAAGACTAAGCATCATTCCTCAGGATCCTACTATGTTTGAAGGGACAGTACGGAGCAATCTGGATCCTCTTGAAGAGTACACGGACGAACAGATTTGGGAGGTGGGTACTGACTACTAGTGATGGGAAAGGGTTTTGGTTTGCAAAATTTCAGTTTCAACTATTGTTTTATGAGGAGAAATTCTAAATTGGATATTGATTTTTCTAGGCTCTGGATAAGTGCCAACTTGGAGATGAAGTTAGGAAGAAGGAAGAGAAACTAGATTCTACAGGTTTGGTGTTCCTTTTTTTTTTCTTCTCCTTCTCATCACCATTGTGACATATTAGTTTTTATCCTAAATCTAGTGATTAAATGTACTGTATCATACTTCTGGTGCTTCATCAGTCAGTGAGAATGGAGAGAATTGGAGCATGGGACAGAGACAACTTGTCTGTCTCGGGCGTGTGTTGCTGAAGAAAAGTAAGGTCTTAGTGCTCGATGAAGCTACTGCATCTGTGGACACAGCTACTGATAATCTAATTCAACAAACTCTAAAGGAACACTTCGGTTGCTGCACAGTCATAACCATTGCACATAGGATAACTTCTGTTCTAGATAGTAACATGGTCCTGCTTTTAAGTCAAGGTTAGTATATGGTTCTACCCATATCAATATACAT